CTAGGTTCTAAGAGTAGAAGACTAAGACCTCACTAAAATGAGGTCAACAAATGGACCCCCAATAGGTGTGGTGTGCTGAACAAGCACACCGCGCGTATTGGTGTTGACCGAAGTGATCAACACGATCAAAAGAACCATCCAAGTACATCATACTCGGAATGAATCGATCCAGAGTTAAAATCAAATTTGAGTTGGGGCTTTCCACCAGGGTACTCCCAATCCAAAGACAACAGCTTACTGAAGATTTTTAAATGTTTCCGCTGGGGATGCAGGGATTCGTCACATGTGCATCATTTGATTATTGTAAATTTGATTGAGTGAGGAAATCAGTTTGAAAAAGGAAGTACGGGGCCACCACGTGGGATTTATGCCAAAATTTGGAGATATCATGCATGCGGAAAATTTAGGGATATGTTGTGGAAAATATGTGGAAAGAATCAGAATCATTGCACCGATCCTGAAATTTAAATTTGAATGAATCGGAAGCCTTAACATCCATATAGGGGGACTCACACCGATCATCGAGAATTTGAAATTTGAATAAATCAGAATTTGAAGGAATCGGAAGCCTTAACATCCGTATAGGGGGACTCACACCGATCCAAGTGGTAGCGAGAAAATATATTTGTCACGTTAGGAAGAAAAGCACTGGGACTCACATCCAACCTAAGCAGTGACGGAAAAAAATATCTGCTACATTGAGGAGGAAAGCTCTGGGACTCACATCCAACCCAAGTGGTAGCAGGAAAATACCTTTGTCACGTTAGGAAGAAAAGCACTGGGACTCACATCCAACCTAAGTGGTGACGGGAAAAAGAATCTGCTACATTGAGGAGGAAAGCTCTGGGACTCACATCCAACCCAAGTGGTAGCGAGAAAATATATTTGTCACGTTAGGAAGAAAAGCACTGGGACTCACAAGGGGTTCTTCGTCCTCTATTGTTCCTCACACTTGCGCCTTCACCCCTATTGATGTCCCGGATTGATGTTTGTCTACCATTGCCAATTCATTGATCTCATTCCACATCAAGTATGCTACATCATCATGTCGTTGCTTCTCCCACAAACCCACAAGGTCCCTTCTATCACATCCCATTTTGAATTCCTCTCAGTTAAGCATGGGATGTAACAGAGGTGAATAATCCAGCCATACACATTTCCGATCAACGCTCATTATGAGCTCACTAATCATGATCAAGTGAACAGAAACTTAGTCAACCTGAATTGTCTTAATATGTTGTAAATGAAAATCCTCTATTAGATCAATCATACTCTCTAATATGGAAGCGTGCACAATTTAAATCATTAAAACGGTCTATAATGCTTCTAAGAAATTTTATATATTATAATTAAGTATGGAAAACCTTTAATTTGCCTCATGCATTTAACTTGTATTCAAGCTTCATATCAGAACTCTAGGATGAAGTCAAAAATTGGGTCATCAGTCAATAGCCCAACTTGCTATTTTTCTGTTCTAAATAACGATATTCATGGTATTTAATGAACTATGTTCAGTAGGATAACAATTTTCATACAAGGTTTAAAATAAATAAAGAAAATAAGGATCGACAGGATAATTTTTTGAACTATGAGCATTGTTAATTATAAACATGACTACCTAATGCCAATGTTTAATATCAAATAGGCTTTAATAATTAAATAAGTGAAGGACATATCATATGATAATTCTTATTATTTACTGTTAAATACCTCCTTGTTATTGAGCATACTCTTTTTTTTTAATCTTTTTTATTATTCTCTTCTCTTGTTTAGGTACGTGCAGATATCCTTTTACTTAAAAATAATTAGAAAAGATTGTCATGTATAATTCTCTCTTTCTTCTAGCAGTAGTCAACGAGATTATAACATTATTTCATCATCAGCAACCTATATTTTAGCGACTATTGGGATCTGTTATCTAGTTTGGCATAGCTGCGTTTTAATCATAACTTTAGTTCTATAATTTAGTGGAATGAAATATACACAATATTATTAAAAAGGTAGCTGTTTCTAAAAATTTGATTGGTACAATTATCAGCAACATGCTTTTTGGCTACCCTTTTAGGGCTATAATTTAGGTAGATGTTTTAGATTTGACTTATGTTATGAAAGGTAGACGTTTAGAGGGTAGACCTAAAAAGACTTGTGCATTTTGTATAAAAAAATTATTTTAATTTATTAGAAGTAAATGAAAATATAACACTCAATAGGACACGATGAAGAAAAATGATCTATGTAGCCACCACACTTAGTAAGATGAAGGCATTATTTTTTTTTTTTTTGTTATCGTTGTCGCCTTGATAGTATTGGACGGGACACGTCATGTTGGCTTAGATGTGTTGGGCTTGGTCAAACTCTATTCATTTGGGTTGTTGGATCATGTTAATGTGTGGGAACCTATTTGATGGGTTTGGGTTTGGTGTATAAGAAACAATTTGATAAATAATTATTCCATTTTCTTAAATAGAAGGGTTTCTTCAATTTTTGAATGCAAGGGAATGTGCGTGTAATATAGAAACTTTAGTGGAGTTGACACTTATCAAGTATTTTTGGATGGTATATAAAGATTAATGAAGGGGGTTGAGATTATTTGCGAGGCAATAAGAAGAGAAAAAGCTTAAAAATAAAAGGGGTTTTAGAGAATATGAGGGGCGGTTGTTATTGTCCTTGTGTAGTTAGGAAGCGGGGTTCTGACGGCGATTAGATACCACCTCCTATATTGATCAAGCTACAAGTACACTGTTTAAAAAGTAAGATGATACAATACTCCTAAGGGGAGAAAAGCCAGCAAAAGTAATCTCCAATAACATAAAACAAGCTAAAAGTCCTTAGTTTTTTAGCAGTACATTATACTATGGGAGATAAAAAAACCCTAATTCTATTTTAAATGAGGCAAAATACATGGGATGTGGAATAAAACTCATACCCGTGTCAAAAGGGAAAAGAGGTGGCTTCGGCTTTGTTTGTAAATGGCTTGGGTTTTGAATTTGAAGAGTGGGATTTATTGGTAAGGAGGTCAGATGAAAGTAAATAATCTTGATCCTTAAAGCGGCCTAGTTGAGCATTTATTATATTTCGATTTGCCCAAAAATAGTTTGCTTTAGGGTATTTAAATATCCAGAATTACAACAACTTCATGTGGATGGTTGACTCGGCCTTTCTTTTTTTTACTTTTGGGCCCATGTGTTGTTGTTCGTGTGTTCATGAAAATATCAATGTGCTATATTTTTTTGTTATTTTTCCATTCACATAATGATTTTTATTTATTTTTTTTTCATTTTTTTACATTTTTATATGGGAATGTTTAAATTCTTGATGAATAATGTAGTCATACGATATTGGATAAAGAAACATGCAATACATATTTTTCCCATATATCACTACCTTTTATCAATAAAGGCCAATACCAAAAATTTCAGTGCATCCTAAGTTTAATATCACATCGCATTATGCTATAATTATTAATTTTTATTGATCACAGCTTTCATTCAAAGTTCAAGTTAAACTGACCTCTCTTCAGTTCTACTATAGGTCTACATCCCGAGAGTTGCGAAGGCTTGACAGTGTTTCTCGATCACCCATTTATTCCTCGTTCACAGAAACGTTGGATGGTTCAGCAACTATAAGGGCATTTAAGTTGGAGGTAATCAACGTTGTTGTGCCTAGTGCCTTGATTTTGTTATATTTTTGTAAGATCTACGTACATACAAACCACTCAATTTCTATATATTTACATACTTAATACCTAAACTTCAATTTTTACATACATTATCATCTCTCCCATGCATGAAAGGTGTATTTCACTTCTTAAAACCCATAATATCTATAAACTATTTGAACTACTCGAGTCTATCCAAACCATTGACATTGCTACCCAAATTATCAACATTTAATTTTGACTATATACAATAATGATGAAGCCTATTTTCAACTAAAAAGCTTAATCATGTGGCATTAGGGCAATTACTTGGTGCTTCAACACTGATATATTTTCGATTATCATATGTGAGGTTAAAACCAATACTCTCATGTTTCATACAGATTCCGACTTTAGAAGTGAAACATTAGTTCAGTTCCTACTTTACTAGCAATGCCTTTACTGATAATCCCACTTGTGATTGAGATTAACTCACTCCATTGTCATTCCACCATTTTAACAACAAGATGCATCAATCAGACGAATGCATAAAATTCATATTGAAGAATTAGAAAGAAGAGTAGATTGAATTTAAGATGGTTTAATGGCCTGAAAAAAGTGGAGAAAAAGGTTTGTTAGAAGATGACCTAAAGAGTTTGGAACTTCGGTGAAGGTTTGATATCAGTCTAGGCCTTCTAGAAAATGTTTAGAAAGGGATTTAGCGGGAAGTGGTTGTGGGATATCAAGTTATGGAGAATATGGGCGATTGATGATGTTTGGAGGGGAATAAGCGACAAAATCTGCTGTTGTACAATAGATTTGATTCGGCGGTTGTTAGGTTGTTGTCACTGATAAAAACAATGAGAAGGGAAATGAAATGGTGAAATGCGGGTTGTGAGGAAGTTCACCCCCGGTTCCTAAGCAAGATACAGATATACCACTTACAAGAGGAAAATAATACAACACTTTAGTGTAGAAATTAGAGATACAATCTCTAAAAAACACAAAACAAAGCAAAAGTTTGTCAAAGACAAGAAATAATGAAATATTGCATGCGAAAGAATTCCCACTCAATCCAGCTTGCGGGATTGTGGAAATTTGTTTTACTGGGATAGGATTCAATCTAGATTCATCTTCCCACATACGTTGGATCGATTCCGCCTGTGTGGAATCTTGCTATCATGGGATCCCACGATCATGATATTGCGAGACGTAGTATTTGCAAAAGAGCTCCTACATCAAGGCTGATGATGATGATGTTGATCGTAATGAAGGTAATGTATATACATATATTAACCTAGGGCTTTTTCAATCTATTTATACCTTTTCCTATTTAATATAATTGCCCTAGGGATTTTTCAATATATATATATATATATATATATTTGATAAATTGTATGAGTGGGCTCAAATAGGCGCCCAACCCACACGGTACAACACACACACAAAAGAAAAATAAAAACCTAAAAATAGGTGGTACATATAACTTCAATCGGGATAACCCAATTTAGTTATGTCTCTGCTTCTAGTTCTCGAAAGGGAACCAGCTAAAAAATTAGTGAGGTGCATACCATTGCCCAAAGTAACCAAAGTATCATTCTTTAGATTCCTTAGCTTAAGTAGATCTCCATTTTTATTCTTCCTCTTGGAATTGTAGACCTAATATTCCTCATCCGAAGATTTTTGCTCATTTGGATGATGTGGTAGTGTTGTAGTAGAAAGATTGCCAACAATTGTATCCACAATAGGTTCTAGTGTATGTGAGGTATGAGTTGTCGTCTTTACCCCTGATACTTCCTGAAGATTGGGAGCTGCAAAGTTCTCCTGATTTTCAGTCCATGTAGGTAGGGATCCTTCAGTACTGTTTTCAATATGGTTTGAAAGTGTAGGTTGCTCAGCAGAGCCATCCAGTTTCATATCAATCGCAGATACAGTATTTTCAGGGGGGGTCCACAGGGGCAATTAAGTTAGACACCAATTCCTGTCCTATGGTAGTTTTCTCTCCAGGTGGAACAGATATGTCCAGAACAGTGGGGTTTGATCTATTCTTATTCACTTGATCTTTAGATTTCAGATTAGGATGAAGCTTATGGCATTTATCAAGGATATGCTCAAACAGCTTACAATAAGAACAATAAGGAGGTCTGTGCTCCATGTTAATTTTTTGTCAATATCTATTTTGAGTTGTGCCCAACCAGACTTCAATAACATCAAGTGAAGTAATATCGTTTTCCACAAGTATTCTGACCGCGGAATGTCTGGTTAGGTTGAAAGCGGGTAGATCTAGCTTCATAGGGTCCCCAAATATGGCTCTAATAGAGTAAAGAACCTGATGATGAAAAAAGTGCAGTTTGAGACCAGGTAGACTAAACCACATTGGTACAGTAGGAGATTTATGATTGGGGTCAAAATTAGGAGACAACTTGAGTAACTTCATTGATTTGCCAGCAATGTTAAGATATTTTTTCGAGAAAATCTGAGTGTAGTTTTCAGTCACGGTTAATTGAATCAACACATGTCTCTAATCCATGAGCCCCACTTTTTACTTTTCTGCTAGTTTGAGATCATCAAAACTTTTCCTGATAACTTCCATAGGTGGGTGCCCCCATTGAAATTTTTCAATAAGAGCGAACTTGATTTTCTCAGTGAGGGTTGAAATTTTTAACTCAGAGAAAAAAATTTGTTGTTTTCCCACTTTTTTTACTTGCATTCTTAATAAAGGGGCAGTCACTTATACCATCACAATACTCCTTATAACTTGAGGGGAAGACAACCGCCGACTCCACCTGAGGATTACCCACCACGTGGGCAAAAGAGTTTTATCAGGTTCAACCGCCGAAGAAGGGAGCTCCTTCATAGCAGGGAAAAGCCCTCCCAAGTCAAGCAGAGGGCAAAAAATGACGAGCCGAAGGCGGTCGTGGCGAAGCCGTAGAACCCGAACCGCGGAACAGGCACAGCTCGACGAGGTCTACGAAGACAGACGAAAAAGAGGAGTCGAAGCTCTTTATCGTCGGGCAGGACGAAATGATGGAGCGAACGCTTCAGGAGGAGATACGAAGTGCGAAACAGCCGAAGGAGAAGCCCTTCGTCGTCGAGTACGAGAATATCTTCGTCATCAAGCACGATGAAATCGATGGATTGAAGGTCGAAGGATTCAACGCAGGGAATCGCCATCGAGCAAAACTCTAGTAGAGATGCCTGCCACTGACGCCATGATATATATATAGGTAGTCGGTGGGTCTACTGCTTCCCCTTCCCCTGGATCTAGGGAGGGTGTCCAACAACATACTGAGAAGTGGGCTTTCGCCCGAAACAATGATACAGTCATTCTGAGAGTTACTGAGATCTAACATTCCTTTTTTATTTTTCCTAGATTTGTAAATCTTTCAATCATCTGCCAGAGATAGTCCCGTGTGAACAATAGGTGGATCTTCGATGGAGGTAAACTGCTGATCTAACTCAGCATGCAACACACCTTGATCCTGACACTCCATAACTTTAGTACCTTCTTCTCTCACAATAGGTGGATCCAAGTCACTTCTGCTAGAATCTGCTACAACAAAATTCGTAGAATTTGTAATCTGAGGAAGAGCTGCCTCAACAACAGTAGGCAAAAGTTGTTGGTCTGGTTGGTGAGGATTAGCCTTATGAGTCAAATTCTCATTCAACATTTCTAGAAGATTAGCAATGTCTGCTATATTTTCCTCCACATGGATGATGTTGTTAGCACCCGCCGATCTCAAATGTGGGTGAAGCCTGAAGCATTTGACAGGGGTGTGCCCAAACAGTCTACAGTGATTACAGTAGTAGGGTCTTTTTTCTACTATAATTGGCTGTCAATTCCCATTGTGGGCAGTACCAAGCCATATTTCGTCTACATCAGGGAGGGTGACATCTCTTTAAACAAGAATTCTTGCAACCGAAAGTCTGGTTAGATTGAAGGTGGGTGCATCCAATTTCATAGGTTTCCCTAGCGCAGCTCCAATAGAATAGTGGACTTGGTGGTTGAAGTAGTGCAACTTTAAGCCAAGTAGCTTAAACCAGATTGGAACTATATGTGATTTTTAACTAGGGTCAAATTCAGGAGACCGCTTTAGCAGTTTCATATATTTTCCCTTTATTGTCATAAATTTTTTGGAAAATATTTTGGCATAGTCTTCCACTTTGGATAATTGTATCATTACATGTCTTCCATCAAAGAGTCCAACCTTCCAAAGTCACAATAGTTTGATATCTTCAAAAGCCTTTCGAACGATTTCCATTTTGGGATGTCCTTATTGGAACTTTTTAATGAGGGTGAATCTGAACTTGTTAACCAGGTTGGAAACTTCAGTTTGCCACTCTTCCTACCCGTCTTCTTGATAAAGTTGCAGTCCTCCTGACCTTTAAATGATTCATGGTAAACTTGAGGGAAAATCTTATCTGATCCCATAGAGTCGTAGCCATGGAAGAGAGTTGAACAACGGCAAGCTACTTGAGTCTAGACTGTGAGTAATTCGGGCGCCAGTGCAACAGACAGAGCCGCAGAAGTCTTTCATGGTCGACACAGAATCTTTGAGCGTGAACGAGCCGAACAAACGAGATGGGAGCTGCAAATGCGCGATTGCAGGAAGCGTCAGACGCGAACGTGCAAAGTTTCCAGCGTCAAAATCGAACGAGACGTAAGACGCTGACACGAGCCGTAGTCGACGTCGAAACAGGAAGTGTGACGCGAGCCGACGACGATAGAGAAGTCTGATGCGAAACATTTGCTAGGGTTCTCCATGTCCGATAGCGGAAGACAACGCCATTTTTTTCTAAGTTTGGCAATATATATATATATATATATATGAACTTAACAATTTGTTAGCTGGCTCCCGGCCTAGAACCAGAGGCGAAGGCAAGGCTAAATTGGATCTTTCGCAAGCTAACTGAATCTGCGAGTGTTGGCAGACTTTTGGCGTATAGTTTCTATGTCTACATTTTAATCTTGATTCTTTTGGTAGACATTTATTTCCTACGTGTGTGTTGTATGCCGGGTTTTTAGGGTGTCAATTTGGGCCCTTTCATCCAACCTATCTATACATTTTCTTTTATTAATATATTCACCTTTGGGCTTTTCTAATATTATATAGATACTGAGATATCTATATATTTGTGCTATTTTCTCTCCGTCTGCTAAATTTCATTCTCTCTCTCCCTTGCCTTGCATGCGACATCTAAAACCGCTGGTTAACTTTCTGAACAGGATTTTTTCATGGCCAAATTCACTAAGCATGTGGCTTTATACCAGAAAACATCTTTCTCAGAGATGACTGCTAGTTTGTGGCTTTCTTTGCGCCTCCAAGTAAGCTTCTTCTCACCCTTTTATTTTGTTTGTTATTTATCTCTTTTTTTTTTCTTAACAGTGACCTAAGCAATCTTGTGGCAGAAACCACCAAAAGGTTGTCATAAAACTGATTTACAATCTAAGCTTTTTTTCTTTCTTTAAATTCAAGGGTTATATATGTGAAAGTTTCAATTTTGAAATCTTCATTGAGCATTTACCCTAATAACTGAAAATCTCAACGATGCTTATCCAATGCAGTGTTATTTTGTCAAATTTGAACTCTAGATCCATCTTACATGCTTCATGTAATTCCTTGAAGTTTACAGAAGGAAGTTTAATATTGTTATTTGCAATATTGATAATTCTCTATAATCAATTTCCTTTGATAACCTTGTTCTTTAGTTGCTGGCAGCATTTATTATTTCTTTCATTGCTCTAATGGCGGTGCTAGGCAGCAGCGGTGATCTTCCCTTTAAACTGGGGACACCTGGACTGGTAAGCTTATTTGCTCTAGTATCACTACCTTCGTTGTGAATGTAACTTTGTCATTATTACTTTTGACCATTTACATACATAGCAAGCAATTCTAATTTTATATATCTCACACCTAAACTTTCATACTCACACAGCACTCAAATCTTTAATATTACATTAAAAATAGCACTATCAACACGTTTTAAAAGTGAAATACACATTTTCATGCATAAATTTAAAACACCAAATTGCTATGCATGTAAATATTTAAAGTGTAGGTATGATATTTGTAAATACATAAAAATTATGTGCTGCATATATAAATTTCCCTACTACTTTATGTTAGAAGTATATTAGGGTTCTAATTATTTCCTGTTTTTCTTATTTATTTCCTGTTATTTCCTATTTATGTATTTCATTTTATTTTTCGATTAATTATAGGAGTTTTTGTTTTTAGCTTATTTGATTTGATTCTTGTAATCTTGGAGATATGGATGTTATTTCTTTCCTAAGTTAGGATTCTAATAAACTGTATTCAAGCCAACATTTCATATCCATAAATGAATTTTGTTTAATTCTCCAAAAGTATATGGTATCAGAGCTAGGAATCTTACCCTAGCCACCAAAACTCCTCTCTGCAAGCCTCCAGCTATCGGAACGCCTCCCTACGGGCATGTTTTCTCCTTGCAGGCCTCCTTCCCGGTAGTTCCTACAACCAGTATTCTCTGCAGACGGAATTTCTTGTAGGCCTCCTTCCCGGTACTCCTCCGTCTAGAACTCCTTCCTACAATCGGAAAAACATCCCTACTGGTTGCCAGATGCAGGTATCAACTCCTTATGTGCCTTGGGGGCCAATTCTCTCCATTGGCTCCGTTGGAGCCATAGCTGATTCCTCCACCTCCGAGTTTTTGTCCGACGTTGTTCTTGATTCCACCAGAGGTTCGGCATCTACCTTAATCCCTCCGCAAACCGAAGGACCTGAACAACACAAGAATCAAATCAAATAAACTAAAAACAGAAACTCCTATAATCTAGGAATAAATGGAAATACATAAATAGGAAATGACAAGAAATAAATAGGAAATCACGGGAAGTAAATAGAAAATAGCAGGAAATAAATAAAACCCTTACATAATTTCTAGCACTTTATATGAAAACTTTCATGCTAACAAATTTTGATAATGTAAGGTTGGGTTGGCGCTTTCTTATGCTTCACCGATCATATCCTTACTAAGTAGCTTCCTTACGAGCTTCACGGAGACGGAGAAGGAGATGGTTTCTGTTGAGAGAGTTTTGCAGGTATGTGAATGACTATCTTATTTGTTCATTCACGTGAAAATTAGTCGATTTTACAATTTTACCCTCATTTATTGCTCCAGTACATGAATATTCCTCAAGAAGAACAATGTGGATCAGTATCTCCTCGCCCGGATTGGCCATCCCACGGGCAGATTGAATTTGAACATGTAACACTAAGATATAAGCCCTCACTGCCAGCAGCTTTAAATAATCTATCATTTAAAATCAATGCCGGCTTTCAGGTTAGTACCATGAAAAGCATAACAAACATTTTGCCATTTTATTTCTTTTCTAACATTGTTTCTGATCACGACAAGATACGCACTTTATAAAAAGAGAACAGTCAAAATAGTTCTCTCACTCTTTGCAGGGGATCTTTTTAATTTGTCTATAAAAGTATCTTTCCATTTAGTCTTAAACTCTATAATATGGACTGAAGTGGTTCTCATGGAGGACTAGTTCAGCACCAATTCAAAGAGTCTAGGGGCTAATTTTGCATTTTTATGGACTCTAGGACTAAAATTTACCCCATGTAAACAGTCAATGGACTATTTTGGCACTTAACTCCTTTATAAAATTTGCAATTTCATGTTCCGTTTGTAGTGAAACACTGATTGTGTGTGCTTTCAGGTCGGAGTTGTTGGAAGAACAGGAGCTGGTAAATCAAGCATACTAAATGCCCTTTTTCGTCTTGCTCCCATTTCAAATGGGAGCATTCTCATAGACAACCTAAATGTCGTTGAGGTCGCTGTGAGAAAACTTCGTCAAAGTTTTGCAGTAGTTCCGCAAAGCCCATTCCTGTTTGAGGGATCATTAAGGTAATTCGGGCATAAAATTTGTGCAATTTTTGTTTCATTTTGAGCACATGAGAGGTCATGTTTGCCATAATGAAATTCTTTGGTGATTATACTGTTAAAGGGCAATTGTGAAGCTTTTTCTCTCAATGGGTTCAAATTCTTAAGTTGATTTTTTTGTGTCTTTGTAGGGATAACTTGGATCCATCGGGAAGGACAAGCGACGAAAAAATGTTGGAAGTTCTTGAGAAAGTTCATATAAGAACTTTAATTGAATCTGTTGGGGGACTTAATATTCATGTGAAAGAAAAAGCGTGTTCATTTTCTGTGGGTCAGTGTCAGCTTATATGCCTTGCCCGTGCTCTTATGAAATCCTCCAAGGTAAAATTGGACAATGAATTTATATTGAGTTAATTGTTTTCATTTTCAATTTATATACTCATCTAATGTTTTGGAGCATGCATCTTTTGTGCTATGATAGCATCTGTAATGGATGCTGTTATACTCACATATTTTATTCAGTTCTTCTTTGGTTGCTTTTATATAGAAAATTTGCTTTAGAGAATGATGATTTTGTTTAGTCCTTGAGTAAGAAAAAAATCATTACATTTGAAAGGTTTCGCAAGCATTTTTGGACTTTAAAACTAGGGTTATTTTCATACAGACTCCATAATTTTTATCTATTTACATATCTAACACATACAATTTGCTATTTATCTATGGGAAGATTTACATTCATTCAACTCAATAGATAAATCTTCTAATTTTATATATCTAACATCTAAACATGCCACCTTGCTTATGCATGAAAATGTGTATTTCACATTTTAACAGATGAAATGGTTGTATTATTTATGTGATCTGCAAGATTTGGATTTATTTTTGTAAAAAGTAAAGTTTAGGTGTAGATGTGTAAATACATAGGAATTGTGTGGTATGTAAATGCCCTATCATTTATTATAAGTTGTTGGGTTGTGGAGCCTAAGCACAAGGCACCCGGCGCATGTGCGTCGGGTTGTGGATGCTTAACTGCCCACTTGGGTGCTGCTCGAACAGAGGAATCGACGCCTAGACGCTGGCTTTGGGCACATATGCACCCGCTATAGAGTGAGCGTTGTTCTTATTCCTAAGAGACAAGCACATAAGCTCCAGTCTATTGGAGCCTAGGCGCCCATTATAGGGCGTCGATACAGAGTGTTTGGCGCTTAGGTGCCAAGTTTGGGCACCTAAGCTCCCGATGCGATTAGTACATGAAAAATTGGTTTTAAAGTCAATTTTTTAGTGTGAATCGGTGAGCTTGCCATTTTCTTCTTTCTGAATTCTTCGACGAGCATTCCGGTGAAGGTGAGGAGTGTCTAAGAGGTGAATTTCGGAGATTTGGCATGATTTTTTGCGTCTGATCGGAGAGGGAAGATTCTTGGTGCAGGTTCTGTAGGTTTTCTCGTGTGATTATGGAGAAGTAATTTGTGTGAGTCCTTTGTAAAATTTTCTGAATTTCATAGTGGAATTTCTAGTGATGTGGCTCAATGTCTTTTTCCCGTTTTCGGGTTTTTCCACATAAAATCCTTTTGTGCTTTTTTTGACTGTTTTGATTGTGCTTTTGTGTTTAAATTTATGTTCCAGTTTTCTTGAATTATGTGATCTTATTTCGTGGCAAAATTAAAAGGAAACTCTTTCGCAATTGTTTTCTCTAACAAACTGGTATTAAAGAAGGGTTTGATTTGAGTGGGAGCAATGCCTGAAGAAGCGAGCTTCAAAGTGGAGAAGTTCATTGGAACGAACTTCGCTTTCTGGAAGATGCAGGTTGAAGATTTGTTGTATCATAAAAAATTCTATTAGCCACTACAAGGCATCACAAGTAAGCCCGAGTCTATGCCTATGGAGGAATGAGAAGTGGTGGATTGAACGGTACCAGATTTGATTAAGTTGACACTTTTCTATTATGTTGCATTAAACATTATGAATGAGAAAACTACGATGGATCTCATGGTGGTACTGGCCAAGAAGTATGAAGAACCTTTTGCTTCCAATAAGGTTTTTCTGATGAAGTTATTCAATATGAAGATGGTGGAAGACAGTTCAGTGGCTGAGTATCTAAATAACTTCAACGCTGTGTAAAATCAGTTGTGTTATATAGGAATCAAGTTTGATTATGAGGTTAAAGCACTGGTGATAATATCTTCATTGTCAGAAAGCTGAGATGGTTTAATAACAACGATGAGTAATTCTTCAAGAACTTTGAAGTTGAACTTCAATGATATCGTAGGCTTGATGTTGAATGAAGAAGTTTGCAGAAAAGCAGCGAATGATGAATCTCTAGGTTCTGTGTTAAATGTTGATAACAGGGGAAGGAATCTAGGCAAGAATACAGATAAAGGCAGATCCAAGTCTACGAAAGGATAACCCAAGTCAAACAGAGGAGGATGTTGGACTGCGATAAAAAGGGGCATTTTAAGGACTGCAAAGCTCCAAGAAAAGCTGGTGGTGGAGGACAGAAAAGTAGTTTTTCTACTAATGTCTCCACAGAGGAAATCCAAAGTGACTCTCTGGTGTTATCCCTAGTCAGTACTGAATTCTAGATATTGGATTCTGGTGCCTTTTTTTATATGCTTGCACCAATAAAGAGGTATTTAAAAGCTACACTCAGAGTGATCTAGGGAAGGTTTATCTTGGAGATAACAATGTCTACAGTATAGTTGGAAAGAGTAATGTTGATATTAAGTTGTTGAATGGAATAGTCTGGAAGCTTACTGAAGTTAGACATGTTACAAGTTTGAAGATAAATCTTACCTCTGTGAGCTAGCTGACAAAGTGATGACTCGTGACTACTTTCACAAGTAATTCGTGGAAGGTGATCAGAGGGCATTAGTGATGGCTCGGGGCAACGTTGAAGGCACCCTTTATCTGATCAATGAAATTGTTGATTTCATCAATGTGGTTAGAACCAAGTTGAATGCAAGACTGTGGCACCATAGGCTTGGTTATATGAGCAAGAAAGATAAGAAGTCCCTACTTTTAAAGAACAAGCTTCAAGGTTTGTTCTGGATTTCTACGAAGACTATATTTATGGCAAACAGAAGAATATTTCTTTCTCCAAAAGTTGGTCAGTTGAGAAATAAAAAAAACTGGAGTTAGTGCATGCTGACATATGGGGTTCTACTTAAGTTCAGTCCATTGGAGCTTCTCACTATTTTATCATGTTCATTGATAATCACATGAGAAAGGTATGGGTTTATTTCCTAAAGCAGAAATCTGATGTATTTGAAGTCTTTAAGAAATGGAAGGTCATGGTAGAAAATTAGACAGGCTTGAAGCTGAAATGTCTCATATCAGATAATGGGGGTGAGTTTCGTGATCGGAAATTCGGGAGTTTCTATGCTACAGAGGGGGTTAGGCATGAGTTCACTGTCTCAAGGACACTAAGGCAAAATGGTGTGGTTGAGCGAATGAGCAGAACAATCAAGGAGCGTGTTAGGAGCATGAGACTGCATGCAGGCTTGTCAAAACAATTTTGGGCAGCAGCAGTAAACGTAGTTGTTTATCTGATATGTCTTAATTCATCGGTACCTTTGGAGGAAGGATTCCCTGAAAAAGCCTGGAGTGACAAAGAGGTATCTTTATCTCATTTAAGAGTATTTGGGTGTTCTGCATATGTGCATATTGATGTAGGGTCCAAGAGCATGCTTGACTCAAAATATGTCAAGTGCACCTTCATTTGATATGGCTCAGATGAGTTAGGGTACAATTTTTGGGATTATCATAATCAAAATATCATCAGAAACAGGGACGTCACATTCAACGAAATGGAAATGTACAAGGAAAGTGTCAAAGTTCAGGACATTTCGTCAGCTACTTCTGAAGAATCCAAATATGTGGACATGGAAGATATTGGTGATCAGGAAGATGTAGAAAAAAGTAGTGCTCAATCTGAAGGAGCACTGAAAGCTCCTTAGTCCCCTGCTACAAAAGTCAAGAAGATTTGGCAGAGTGAAACAACCCATATAAAGGTATTTTTCTTCTTTACACTATTTGTTATAAACTAATAATGGTGAACCAGAGTGCTTTAAGGAGGTCACTCAAGTTGAAGATTCAATGGAGTGGGAGATCGCCATGGATGAAGAAATGCAATCTTTGGAGTCAAATCAGAATTGGGATTTGACAGTACTATCAAATGGCAAAAGAGCACTGCATAATAAGTGAGTCTAAAAGTTAAAATTTGAGTCAGATGGTAGTAAGCGTTACAAAGAAAAACTTGTTATGAAGGGTTTCCAGTAGAAGGAATGAGTGGATTACTCAGTGATCTTCTCCCCAGTGGTAAGATGACTACTATCAGGGTTGTGCTGAGTCTAGTAGCAGTGGAAGATCTATATCAAGGGCAGATGGATGTAAAAACAGCTTTTTTACAAGGAGATCTAGAGGAGGAACTCTACATGGTGCAACCACGAGGTTATAAGGTTCCAGGCAAAGAGGATTTGGTCTGCAGATTGAAGAAGAGCCTTTATAGCTTGAAGCAGACCCCGAGACAGTGGTACATAAGGTTTGACAGATTCATGTTAGACAATAGATACAAGAAGTGTCAAGCAGACCACTGTTGCTTCATCAAACACTTCAGTAATTGTTATTTTTGTTTCTTTTGTATGTGGATGACATGTTAATTGCATGGGCAATTATGAAGAAAATCAGGGACTTAACGAAATAGTTATCAAATGAGTTCGAGATGAAGGATTTGGTTCCAACCAAGAAGATACTCGGGATGAGAATCAGTATGGATAGAAATGCAGGAACACTGAAGTTGTCTCAGGTAGAGTGTTGAAAAAATCTTACAGTGATTCAACATGAGTAAGAAGAAACGAATTAGCACTCTCTTAGGCAGTCACTTCAATCTTTCTAAGGAGTTATAGCCTAACTCTGAAGCGAAGCAAGCATAGATGGAGAGAACTTCGTAGACCAGATATTACATAAGCAGTGGGAGTGGTCAGCAGGTATATGGGCAATCCATGGAGGCATCATTGGGAGCTGGTAAAGTGGATTCTCAGATATTTGATAGAAACAGACAACAGGGCACTTTGTTATGGAAAAGCAAGGATCAGTCTATAGGGATTCGTAAATTCAGTTCCGACAGGAGATGTGGACGGTAGGAGAAGTACAACGAGATATCTTCACATTGGGGAACGCATCGATGAGTTCAGTTGTCAGGTTGCAGAAGATTGGTGCCCTTTCAAATACAGAGGTTGAATATTTGCTATCACTATTGTTGGCAAAGAAAGGATTTAGCTACAGAATTTCATGGCAGAATTGGGCAAGGAGTAGGGGATTGGAAGACTCTACAGTGACAGTATGAATGCGATTCATCTTGCTAAGAACGTTATTTTTCATGCTACGATGAAACATATTTGGCTCATGTATCATTTCATTTGATCTCTTCTGAAAGATGGGCAATTGTTTCTGGAAAAGATATACACATTTGAGAATCCTGCGGAAATATTGATGAAGGTGGTGACGTTTGAGAAACTGAAGTTTTGCTTGGCTTCAGTTGGGTTTCATGAAAGTTGAGACCGGTGGTGAGCCACATCACGATACGTGACGACGGTACATGCCTATGAAGGTGATTCAGATGGAAGTACAAGTACAGGACTGGTTCTTGGTGTTATAGTCTCCAAGTAGGAGATTATTAGGCTGTGAAGCCTAAGCACCTGCTTTGGGCACATATGTGCTCGCTATAGAGTGAGCGTTGTTTTTATTCCTGAGAGACCGGCACATAGGTGCTTGCTATTGGTGCCTAGGCGCCCATTATGGGGCGTCGATACAGAGCACTTGGCGCTTAGGTGCCAAGTTTGGGCGCCTAAGCGCTTGGTGCAGTTACTACACGAAAAATTAGTTTGAAGCCAATTATTTAGCGTGGATCGGTGAGCTTGTTGTCTTATTCTTTCTGAATTCTTCGATGAGCATCCCAGTGAATGTGAGGAATGTCGAAGAGTTGGATTTCAGTGATTCGGCTTGATTTTTTACGTTGGATTAGAAACGGAAGATTGTTTGTGCAAAGTCTATTAAGTTTTTCATGTGTGTGGAGAAGAAATTTGTTTGAGTTTTTTGTAAAACTTTCTGAATTTTATAGTGGAATTTCTGGTGTTGTGACTCCATGATTTTTTCTCATTTTCTGGTTTTTCCACGTAAAATCCTTATGTGATTTTCTGGTTGTTGTGATTGTACTTCTGTGATTAAATTTTTGTTCCGGTTTTTTAGAATCCTGTGATTCTATTTTGCGATGAAATTAAAAAGTGACTCTTTCGCAGTAGTTTTCTCTAACATAAGTAGATACTGATAATGGCTCTACCATTGTAGTATCTGAAAAAAGAATCTATTTTTAGATATGTTCTTTATTTTAGAAATGAATTGGAAGGAATAAGAAGGGTTTTAAAATAGGAAAATTTACATATGTAGTACGCAATTCTTATCTATTTACATATCTCAAACTTGAACTTTCATATTTACATGCATGGCATTTTGGTGCTTTAAACCTGATGAAAAGTGTAGTTCACTTTTAATTAGTGGCAATAGCACTTTTTTTTTTTTTTGTGATTTTAGATTTGAGCGTTGTGTGCGTAAATATAGAAGTTTAGGTTTGAGATATGTAAGTACATGATAATTGTGTGTTATGTATGTAAATGCTACTTTATTGTTGCATGCCAATGCTTCAGGAAATAGTTAGAAATACTTGTTTATCCAGCCTGATTATGATATTATTTATGGTACTGTATTATGACAACCTTTTTACATTCATTTATGCAAATGTTTTGCATCCCTTGCTAGATTTTGTGGCCCGAATTTTTCTGGCTTAAATCAAAAAATTCACGGTGCAACATATGCTCTCTATCTAGAATTATCTGCTTAGAATATTAATAAGAGACTTGTTAACTTGCAGATACTTTGTTTGGATGAATGTACTGCTAATATTGACACACAAACAGCAATCTTACTGCAAAATACTATCTCGAATGAATGTAAAGGCATGACAGTGATCACGATAGCTCATCGAATTTCTGTGGTGTTAAACATGGACTACATTCTAGTTCTTGACAATGGATTCTTGGTAAGTACCCTTTATTTTTTTGTAAATTTACATTCATACCACTCAATTTCTATGTATTTATATATCTAACACTTAAACTTCAATTTTTACATATATGCCACCTTCCCTATGCATGAAAAGGTATATTTTATGGGCTCCGAAAATTTCAACGCCCCAGAATTCTATGTTTTGTTTTTGTGTGTTGAGAGAGCTTTGAGAGTCAAATTTTCAAAAAGGCAAATAAAATAATAGATAAGACAATACTCAGAAATTTTGTTCTTATTTTGCAAGGATTTTTTTATTTGGGTTTATGGTTTCTCATAGGTGCAAGCCTCTATGGTTAATTATCCCTCCTGATAATAAGGGAGCACTTTCGATTAAGGCTGGTCATTTACTGTTGAATTATTGATCAAGTCACGCCCTTCTTAATAAATGAGCTCCCCAATTCATTACAAGCCCCCCTATACTAATCAGTTATGTATTCGATTAAGTTCATCTTTCGTATATGACAAATTTGGGTTTATTCAATTATCCAGAAGAAGATTAGATATTCACTAAAGATTCATGATCACTATCTTTGTTGAATACCGAGTTTAATAGGTTACACTCGAGCTCTATGATGAGCTATCGAGTCACCTATTAATTTTATGTGTTTGCTTATATTTTAAATATTCAATTTTCTTTTCATTTTATAAATTTTTTCTATTTTAATTATTTTTGTATTTAGCAGTTTTCTTTTAAATTATTTTAAGTATAGGTTTGTTCAGTTGAAAATCCGGCAATATTCCAGCATCCCCTCCTTGGATTGGGAGGTAACTAAGTCGGAACAGGTTTACCACCACACAAAGAAATGTGTGTGGCAGAAGTTGGGTATCCCGTCATATAAAGAAATGCGTATACGGGTCTTTGGACCTGCAAAAAGCAAACACATAACAGTAGGATTTCCCCGCCACGCTAAGAAAAACATGTACGGGTAATTATAATATGTGTATCGGGATGTCACCTGCAAATGAAAACACAAGCATATATAGCAATATTTTCCCATCGCGTGAAGAAATGGGTTCAGATCAGCAATTATACTTTTATGCATGAGTTTGAGCACGGGAATGCAAGGTCGAAATGCTGGTTTTGGAATTTGGGCTAGAGCTCGTAAGGTGAAGTGGCTGGCAGGGGTAGCTGGCAAGCAAGGACTAAAATGCATGCAATCTAGATGGGTCTGGAGTGCTGTATGACTTGGATTTGGGTTTGCTGCAGGAAATAAAGAAATTGGAGAATGGAGGAAAACCTAGTGGCCTGTAGATACAACATGTGCAGGATCATTGCGGCTTGTAGAGGCAGACTGGGCTTAGAGAGGGGAAGCTGTTGTGGCGTGGTGAGCTTTGTGGTTGTTCGGTTGAGACGAGCAAGGAGCACTAGGATCGCAGCAGCTCTATGAGAGAAAACAGGTTGTGGAGGTTCATCAACGAGGGTAGGCCTGGAACGGATTATTGGTTCAGTTTTGCTGCAGGTGAAGGAGCGGAATAATGAAATTTGCTGCTTGCTGTTGGAGTCACAACAGTCAGAAATAGGAGTCTAGGAGGTTGGCCGACTAGTGTGGTTGCGGCAGGATAAGGGCGGAGTTAGAGAGCTCGTATGGCACTGAATCGGAGGAGATTGTGAGGAGCTGGTTTCAGCCAGGGGAGTAGGCTGCCGATGAGGGAAAGTTGTCAGCAGCTACCCTGAACGGAGCGGAGAGGGAGACGGAGGAGAGGGATGGAGGAGAAGATCAGAGGAGGGCTTGGTCTGGTGGTGTGGCAGGCTACTGGATGGAAGCTTGGGCTTCGGCTGTAGGGGAGGAAGATGAGCTTTGGTTGTGGAGAAAGAAGCTGCTTGGGCTTGGTTGCAGGAAAAGTTTGAGAGCCAGGGAATAATTTTGCGAAAACAAAGAGCCAGAGGGGTTTCTGCGAGTGGAGTTGGAGCTTGAACGGAGAAGGTGATGTGTGGGTTTCAGGATAGAGCCAAACGTGAGGGGAGTGATAGAGTGGAAAGTTTTCCTTTTTTTTCCTTGATTTTTACGTATCAATCATCCAAAACTTTAAATATAATGGATTGACCACCCAAACCTAAAATTTTACATTTCAATCACCCAAGACTTTAAATAGAATGGATTTATCACTTCTGTTTTAAAAATAAATAAAGTGTTGTGAGATATGTACTTCCTGGCATAGAAATGAAACGCAAAGAACACAAGAAAACACAGATCGTTTACGTGGTTCAATCCAACTGGATCTACGTCCACGGGTGGGAATCAATCAAATAGTTGTTCACTAAGGCAAAAGAAGAGAATATATAGCTTATACATAGAGATGAGCCCTCATCTTCCTTC